AATGTCCATTTAGTAAATTACCAATGTCTGTTTGTCCATACTGTACGTACACTGGCTAAAATCTCCATTGAATTTTTTTTTTTTTTTTCCAAACTGGGCACGTCACAGTTATCTCCCTTCTAACGCTGTACACACATTGACAACAGTATTTCTGGCACTTGGTGCCATTCACCATCGCCATTTTTACACCCTGATTGCATTATTTTTGATATGGTTATTCCCCACCCCGCCCAAACAAAATGTTTTTTTATGATTTATTCTTTTTAATTGTCATGCGGGCGATGAGAATAGATACATTAATATATTAAACACAATTAAAGGGGGGGGGGGTAAAATAAAAAAATAAAAACAAGAGACACAAACATTAATATTAGGAAAAATACAGGGTTTTTTTCAAAGATCGAGGCAGCACAGAGAGATCTGATGAAGAATGTCATTATTCAGTGATTTAAAAAAAAAAAAAAAAAAATAAAAATGGTAAATCATCTAGGGACGTGTATTTGATCAGCAAGAGTCTTACCTTCCTGATGGGAAAAACAAACTATTCTCTGGTGGGTGACGTTTATTAATCAGAAATCACCTATTAAAAAAAAAAAAAAAAAAATGCAAACCAAGTGGGATGAGTAAAAAAAGGGAAGGAGGCCAACCATCTACTTATAAAATCCGCGATACCCAACAAGTGAGGGGAAGAATCAATAACTATCCTACACAAAATTTAGAGCTGATTGAGGTGATCTTCCTCTAAGGGTTTAACAGTCTAAAGTGTGTGTGTGTGTGTGTGTGTGAAAAGAAAGAAAGACTTAAACAGGAATTAGAAAATAACTAATTCAGTGATAGCTGGCGGAAAAAAAAAATGCAAAAGATAATAGTTATGGAAGCGGGGGATATTGATAGAGAGGAAATAAAATTGAAAAGAATGAGTTGTGGAAGGAAGAAAAATGCAATTTTAATGCACACTGGCATCCATGAGTCATTCATTGTAACACTTCTGTTGAGCACGTTTATGTGTAGTTACTGGCAAGTAATATGGCAAACAAGACTGTCCATCTGCTGCTGTTTGCAATTCTACAGAGATGAAATAATCTATCTCCCAAATTCACAGAGGGTAAAAAGAAAATAATGTTAGCCTCATGTGTTGTGTAAACTACAAAATAATTCTTGATTATACAGGGTGACCCTAAAAAAAAAAAAATTGTACTCACATTTTGACTTCCTAACTTCTGGAATTTTTTTTTTTTTTTTCTGTCAGATCCAATTTAAACCGTCAAACCTTTCATATTTCTTAATTTTAGCTATTAATCTTGTTTGCAAGTCAAACATTGCATGTAAAGAGTGAGTATGTTTTGGGTGGGGTACCCTGTATTTTCTTAAACAAAAAATTCTAAGTTGTTAATTATTTTATTTTATTTTTTTTATTATTATTGTTGTTGGGAGGTATGCCATAAAACTTATTTAGATGACATTAGATTTGGCATAAACATTAAAAATAAAATACCACCAGTATTTGTTATTTAAATAAATTTGTTTTATGAACACATTAAGCTTCTACCTACTTTGTTACTTTCAGTGTTATTAAGTAATAAAAACAAAAATACATTTATGGTTATATTAACAAGACAAATTTTGTAGACAATCTAGAAGAAAAAAAAAAATAGCCCAGAAGGAATCATTCATTCAATTTTTTTTTTTTTTTCCTAGGCATGTTCAACAGTTAGCCAGAAGGGAAGGGGAATGTGTGGCCAATTCTAAATTGTTCTGCATTTAAATACAACTTTGAAAAATCCTTAACAGTGACGTATATTGTCATAGTAAGGGGTTACTGCTGGATAAGTTATTTTACTTTATTTCATTCTCTCGTCTTATTAAAATAGGGAAATCCCCAAGGCACATAATAACACCCATCAAATTATAATTAAATCTGAGAAAGAAATTGGAAATGGAGGGTAAAGAATCTAAATTATAGAGGGGCATGAAGGACATGTATCTTAGTTCAGAATTTTTTTTTAAATAAAGAAAAAAAAAACTTGTACATCAGAAACAGCTGAAAGGAACTCATTCAAGGGAAGTAACTCTGACAAAGTTAGTTTAAGATTAAAGAAAAATGGTTAATGCTGACCGGGTAGAAATTTACAAGAATACAAAAATAATTGATACCAAACTACAGAGTAGATATTAGATATTGATTTACCTTAGGCTGACACATGGCCACCAAGTGGTTAGCAGACATTACTTGCCTTGAAAATGGAAAATAAAATTAAAAACAAAAAAAAAAAACAAAAAAAAACAAAACATCTGAATTTTTTTTCTGCCTGCACAACTCCCATATTGGCCAATTTTATATTTAAAAGGTTAAAAGAAATGATCTTTGGGATTTTGCTCAAATAAAACCAGTTTCTTTTTACTTGTATCAAAACTTAGTGAATTATCCTTTTCAAAAAGTAGATATTCTTAAGGTCTTTATCTCAGTTTCAACTACTTGCAGCAAATGACAAAAGTTATAAAGGATTTAAAGTCTCTTTTGCAACCATATAATGAACAGCCAACATCACCATTGTCAATGTGCTGCTGGTTCAAAATTAAATTGTTGTGAATTTTCCATTGATGGATTTGTTTATATATATATATATATATATAATCTCTTATCAAATCCTTTGCACATTATTTAAAGCCAGAAAATATTTTTAGATTGTAAGAATCTTTTTTTGGAGATAAGGATTTTTACTGATACAAGTTGTACTAAATAACCCATAGCTGGATTCATCCTTTTCCTAAAGGTATTTGCACATAAGTGAATATAACAAACCCAACTGGAATTGGAACTCCAATTTTCAAGTCATTATCCATTACACCACCCACACATCCAAGCTTACAGCACCTGGTATTTCAGTCACCCATCTTGGTACTGACCAGGTTGAATAATGCTTAACTTTGGTGATTGTATGAGTGGGCATTTTATGTTTTGTGAGTAACTGAAATTCAGAAAACTTCAAGCACTGTGCATTTTTTTTTTTTTTTTTTTTTAAAAGGCATATTTAAGAAATTGGCCATCAGGAAGGAAAATCAAGAAATTAATTGTTAGATAAATTAAAATAGTGCAGTTATTTGGGTAATTTCAGAAAATTGAACTGACAAAATGTTAAAAAAAAAACAAAAAAAAAAAAAACTGGAAAATGAAAGTAAGAGTGAGAAAAAGAGGTTAAGAGAAATAGGCAGGCAAGCTGTGTGTGTGTGTGAGAAAGGTAAGCAAAAATTAAACTTGGATAAATAAAAAAAAATATTCATCACAAACTGATCCATGTCCATAAATAATTAAAAAAATAAATAAAATATTTCTTCTCATGACCCTCATCTAAAACGATATGTGGAAAGAAAAAAAAAACAAAAACAAACCCACCCACCCCCCAAAAAAAAGAAAAGAAAAAATAATAAAATAATAAACAAATGTCATGAAAGAAAAAAATACATAATTTAGGGGTAGAAATGAAATTTGATGGGATTTAAATATTTTTTTTTTTTTTTTTAATTTTTTAAAAGTGTTTTTGCATTACTCTTAGTGGCTATCAAAACTTGGGGGAAGAGATTGATCCACAGAGAGTTCAAACAAATTCCATATTTTTCTATTGTGAGAAGGGAAGCTGTAAGTGATCCTATCTTTTTTTTTTTGTTGTTTTAATAGTGGGGAGGGGATTTTTGACAAGTCTGTTGTAACAAATTTAAGTTGTCCTGATGTAAGGAGACAAAAAAAAGTGTGAAAAGTGTAAGGGCAGTGCACACCACAAATACCCCTTGCTTCAAAGGGGTCTCTTCCTAAGCCTCAAGATAAACAGTAAATTAAATCCACAGTGACAGCAGTAGTGTTGTTGTGGATAAAAGGAAGATAGATGGATGGGGGGGGGTCAAATAATACTAAATGTTCTGGTTGGGAAGAATAACCTGCCAACAAAGTATTTTGCTTTTTAAAAGTTCCAAGTCCTACACTATATACATCTCGTAGCATGTTTTTGTCTTGCCTTGACTGACATGAATTTTCATAGAGTCAAGAGAATGTGTGTCACATGGCATAGTGAGAAATTGGGGGGGGGGAGATTTGGAAAGAGTGATTGAGAGATTTGGAAAGAGTGATTTAGAGAGAGAGAGAGAGAGAGATTTGGAAAGAGTGATTTAGAGAGAGAGAGAGAGATTTGGAAAGAGTGATTTGGAAAGAGTTTGATTTAGATTTAGAGAGAGAGAGATTTGGAAAGAGTGATTTAGAGAGAGATTTGGAAAGAGTTTGATTTAGAGAGAGAGATTTGGAAAGAGTGATTTAGAGAGAGAGATTTGGAAAGAGTGATTTAGAGAGAGAGATTTGGAAAGAGTGATTTAGAGAGAGAGATTTGGAAAGAGGATTTAGAGAGAGAGATTTGGAAAGAGGATTTAGATTTGGAAAGAGATTTAGAGAGAGAGAGAAAAGAGTTTGGAAAGAGTGATTTAAAGAGATTTAGAGAGAGAGAGATTTGGAAAGAGTGATTTAGAGAGAGAGAGAGAGATTTGGAAAGAGAGAGAGAGATTTGGAAAGAGGATTTAGAGAGAGAGAGAGAGAGATTTGGAAAGAGTGATTTAGAGAGAGAGAGAGAGATTGGAAAGATTTTAGGAAGAGTGATTTAGAGAGAGAGAGAGAGAAAGAGTGATTTGGAAAGAGAGATTTAAAGAGAGAGAGAGAGAGAGATTTGGAAAAGAGATTTAGAGAGATTTAGAAAGAGATTTAGAGAGAGAGAGATGGAAAGAGGATTTAGATTTAGAGATTTAGAGAGAGAGAGAGATTTGGAAAGAGTGATTTAGAGAGAGAGATTTGGAAAGAGTGATTTAGAGAGAGAGAGATTTGGAAAGAGTGATTTAGAGAGAGAGAGAGATTTGGAAAGAGTGATTTAGAGAGAGAGAGATTTGGAAAGAGTGATTTAGAGAGAGAGAGAGATTTGGAAAGAGTGATTTAGAGAGAGAGAGAGAGATTTGGAAAGAGTGATTTAGAGAGAGAGAGAGAGATTTGGAAAGAGAGATTTAGAGAGAGAGAGAGATTTAGAAAGAGAGAGATTTGGAAAAAGAGAGAGAGAGAGAGATTTGGAAAGAGGATTTAGAGAGAGAGAGAGAGAGATTTGGAAAGAGTGATTTGGAGAGAGAGAGAGAGAGAGAGAGAGATTTGGAAAGAGTGATTTAGAGAGAGAGAGAGAAGAAAGAAAGAAAGAACCTGTGTCCAGGACACACATTAGTCATTCTTTATAAATTTAATTTACCAAAACAAAGCATAGGTATTCTTATATAGCAATTTCTAATGGTACATCTAACAAATACATAGATGGCATTATGTTAGACTTCATCTATCTAAAGATGAAGTGAATATTTAATCTAAGATATTTTTTTTATTTTAAATTTCTCTATATTTTAAAAAATTCTTTTTCTTTTAGCCACCAAATTACGCCCCCTCCACAACATTTCTATAATTAAGGATCAATTGTTCATTTATGGAATTATATATAAACAATAAAATAAAAAATATATATAAATAATCCAAAAATGCCTTTTGGCAACACTTTTTAAACATTTTACCCACTGTTTTCTGGTTTTGAGAAATCTGTCACCCATTCACTTTTTTGCCTTAGACTAATTCTGGTTCCAGAACAGGTTTCTTGAAAGTTAGTTACTCTCTCCAAAATCCAATAATCTTATTTCTTTTAAAAAAACGTTCAGCAATTTTTGTCTTTGCAGTCAACACTTCTTTCTTCTTTTAAAATGCAATGCAGTATAGCCCTCAACTCAAAATTGTCCAGAACAGCTTTTAGTCCCAGACTAAACGGTCATATCTCTCATGAAGCTAGATTCAAATCTAGTCTATGAAAAATAACTTTATAGTATAGTTATTTCTCTTGACACCCTTTACAATTCATTTTCTATTTGCTGCTGTTCTATATTCTCTCCTCTTTCTCATGAACAAATTTGGAGATTTATTTCCTTGAGGGGCAAAAAAATAAAGCCTATTTTATTTATTAATTCAATAAATTCAGCAGATATGGAGAAGACATGTTAAGTTAGAAAAATTATTCGGCTTTGTCTTCAACAATTCCTTCAAGAAAAATAAACTTTTTCCAGATAATGAAAAGAAAAAAAGAAAGTTGGGCAGGGGGTATCAAATGTCAAAATAAAAATAAAATAAATAACTTTAGCATATGGCTGGTTGGCAGAAGCAAAAAAAAAAAAAATAAAATAATTCAGGAATAGTTTGCTGATTTTTTTTTTGTTTTTTTTTTTTTCTTGTTTGTTTTCAAATTTGTTTTTCAATACAGCAAAAGAAAAATTGTAGTTGCATTAGATTTTTTTTTTTTTTTTTTTAAAATCCTTAAGTTTTCTTTCAAAATGAAAGGGAGAGATTTTGCCAAGGAAAGTGGACAGTTATGATTTTCAGATAGCAGTTAAGCTATCTGAGATGGTGGCACAATCATGAGAAACCTGTTCTGACTGACTTGAATTTAAGGAGTCACAGGAACCAATGCGAAAATGGAGACTAGGCAAATGTATTGCATTGTTATCATTGGCTCTATTTCCATGTCGACAATCCCCAGACAGGGTTCCACCTTGGGACAAAATAGCCGAACCTTTATCATCATCATCAGTACCAAGAAGAATGTTGCTAAGCTCGGTGGTGTTGGTCATATCATTATCACAGATGGCGCTGGCTGTTCCCAGACTACTGGTGTCCGTGAATCGAAGAAGTGGTTCACTAGGGATTCCACCGCAGCTTTTCACCGGGGATGGTCGACTCCAACAGGCAGTAATGTCGTTTGAACTGAACTGGACATGGTCCTGGTCTCCTTCCCCCCTCCCAATCCCACTCTCTTGACTGCTCCCACTACCTACCCCAACATTTCCACTTCCTCCCTCATTTGGCCCCTCTCCCCGACCATTTTGCCCACCCTCCTGTACTCCATCTCCCATTTCCGATTCACTGTCACTTGGCAGAATAAGAGCTGCAGTTGACCTATGCCTTTCAAAATCTGTATTTGTGCTATTCATAGTTACATCTTGACCATCGGTAAGTAACGGTACATCAGGTGTACCATGTCTGCCATCATCTGGGCTGGGTCTCTCTGTCACTGATGTAGCTGGGGTCTGCTCGGTCAGTTCAGCCATAGTTTGGCTGCTTTCTGCAAGACAGTTTCTTGATGACCGGGAGCCTCCATTTGATGACCTGTGCCGATTTCTGTTACTGCGTCTAGAATGTCGACGCCGTTCTTGGAAAATACGCTGGGCCTCTTCAAATGGCATGGAGGTGATCATTGCTTCACAGTATGAGGGAGGGGCAGGACGGCGCATGAACTCTGACTGCCAGTGAGTCAGGGGGCCTCCAGGCTCAGTCAAGCGCAGGCGGTGTCTATCACGGTGGCGTAATGAATTAAGCTTGCAGGTAAAGCCGAGCGCAATGACTAACAAAAGAGCACAGGTGAGAGATCCGACTACAGCAACAAGAATCACACGGTTTGAACTGCCTGTAAAGAGAAAGATACAATGTCAAACATTATGAAAATTATTAACTGCATTTGATAGTATATAAAAACAATCCTCGTCCTGTTACTTTTTAATATAACAGTATTATAGAGCTAGGTAAACCAATAGAGATGTGAGATTTTCAATCATTTCTGTAAGAGAAATATGAAGCAAGTTTTGTATTGTCAGAAAACATTATCTTCAAACAAACTTTGTACAATTATATATAAAAGAATAATGTGTACATAAAATTGTTGTGGCACTGCAATTAGTTAAGCTAAAAGCAGTGGTAACCAAAATTTGCACCTTTAAATGACAGGTATAAGGAAATGGAATAAATTTCAACAAAGGCAAGATTTTATATTTTTGCTTTTATATAACTGAGTAACAAAGGAGAGAAAATAAACTAGTATACATGTAAAGGAGAGAAGACATTAAAAATGTGTGTAAGTGTGAGAATGAGAGAGAGCGAAAGAGAGGTTCAGTTCAGTCACTGTTGTGGAGTGATTTCACAGTGGAGGCTTGTATTTGTACAAAGTCGGTCCTAAAATAGGTTCGACGTCCAAAACGTTAGGAACTTGATATAATAGGTATAACGCAGAGTAATCTAGTTGTGGTCGCTGATACTTTAGTATTCGACTGTCGTCCGACATCGACTGACTGACCACTCTTACTTATAGGTGGGAGAGTCTATTAACTATAGAATAGGTGTGTTCCACTATAACAGTCACTCAGGGGAAAGATACCCCCATGCCCGGGAACAAATACTTGTTGGAGTTACTCCTACCGCCTGCTTAAAAAAAAAAAAAAAAAAAAAAAAAAAAAAAAAAAAAAAAAAGGAAGGAAAAAAAAAAAAAAGGAAAAAAAAAAAGGAAGGAAAAAAAAAAAAAAAAAAAAAAAAAAAAAAGAAAGGAAGAATTTAAAAAGGAAATTGTGTGTGCCCAGTCACTTAGGAGAAAGATATTCCCATTCTTGGGAAGGACCTGGTTAGTGTTAACACTTCAACTGCATGCTAAAGGGGTAAGAGCACAAAGATGAAAAGTAACTCGTTTTTATAGTTGTTTGATAGTGCCATCTAACAATTTCTTTGTGAAACTAGCAAAGCTATGTGGGAGTAACCCCCAGCATATAAAAAGAACTCTTCTCCTTACATTTTAATATTACAGAACTAGGTACAAATACTAAAAAAATATTAGCTTACCAGATACTCAAAAACAGGAGATATTTTTAAAAAGTAATTAGGAGGAGGGGATATTTTGCATATCTCCAAATAGATTAATAACAGAAATATACCTGATTTCGAAGGGAAAAATACTTATGTCTATAGGTAAACTTTGGTTTGTTTTGGTACTTAAGCCTGTAAGCATCTGCCCAGAAGAAGGTCTTACCCTTCTGTAAGGGATATATTCTAAGCCCTGTTAACAGTGTAAATTATTGAGATGAAATTACTTGGGTGATAGCTGTCCTATGATGTATGGCCTCATGGTTTAAATAAATAAAAAAAACTAGTCATAATATAGAAGTGAAAAGTTCAATCCCTGGTATAGCTAGTGTAGAAATATACACTAGTTAAGTGGGGAGTCAGGTCAACATTCACCAGTAAATTAAAAAAAAATATATATATATATATATATATATATATATATATATATATAAAAATCAAAATTACTGAGAATAAAAAAGAAAACAGCATAATAGTTAATATCTTAATATCTTCTCTATTTCAAGACTCAGTACTTTTTACTTTTTTTTTTTTTTTTTTTAATTCAAAAGTAAGTAAATAAATCCAATATTATAACATTCCTTTCAAGCAGAGACAAACATCATTCAACATAGGATTCTAGATGCTAAAAAAAAGAAAAAAAACTTAATGAGGAAGTGGCGAATTGAGTTTTCATTGCAAATTAATTGAGTATCACTTGAGTTTTAATAACCGACTTAGAAAGTGTTATTAGATTTTAAGAGCTAATTAAATCTAAATTTAATTCAAGTCACCAATCAATTGAGTCTAACTGCTTTAATAGCCAATTTAGTTTATGTAACTCTTTGTAATTAGCATCTTGATAAGACTCAAAGAGGTTTGAAAAGCATATTGGAAAAATGCAAGAACATGGTATACTGAGAGCTGTAGGGTGAGGGTGGTAGTAATAATTAAGAATTTTCCTCACTTGTATTACAATTATCTTCAGTCCCAAGTAATAGCTAGAATTTCAAATTTTGGTTTCCAACATTGGTAAACACCTACCTACTTTTCTCTTATCTACTTTATATATATTTTTGTGTGCTTTATTACTTCAAAACAATATCATAGTGAATATTCATATAGTGGAGAGAAGCAAAAAGAGGAAGAGAAGCAAAAAGAGGAAGAGAAGCAAAAGAGGAAGAGAAGAAAAAGAGGAAGAGGAGAAGGAGAAGTCTAGAGAAGAGTGGTAAAGAGCAGGAGAAAGCATAGAGGGAGAGAGAAAGCAAATAGAATTGATTAGGAAAATAAGATGTATTTAAAAAAAAAATAATAAGTTTGAGAAAAAATGTTAGCAAGAAAGGAAATAAGAAAAATGCTCTAATTGATTTTATTGATTAAAATCAAACTTACTTGGGCAATTCATTTCATCACTGTTATCCCCACAATCATCTGTGTAGTCACATTTCCAGTTTTCATAAACGCATCTACTGTTTTTGCACAGGAATGTTCCATTGAAGCCACATTTGTCTGGAGCTGGAAAAGAGAAAAAAATTAAATAAGTCTAATTTCTCCTTTTAGCATTCAATCCATCCAAACCCACTTCATAAATATCAGCTTTCAATATTCAACCCATCATAACCTTACCCATTCATATTTTGCTATGAGTTATGACTCCATCATCGCAAATAACACTAGAAGTCATACAGTAAAACTTTGGGAGCCAATATTTACGGGCATGTTTGAGTGTATTGAATGCTAAAGGGTTAAACAGAATCTCTTTTTTCTTTAAACACTAGTTGTTTAAGTAACCCATGCTATCACTGACAGAATTCATTAAATGCATGAAAATCTTCATTCACTCTAATCTTTAAAAGATATTGTTGCAAAAAGGTACATCTTTTTGGAGTACCAGTTGTACCCTGTCTTTTTGCAATCACAATCAGTGAGACTATCACAAAGCTCCATATACAAAGCACAACCACCTGACTCGTCAGCCTCTGTTGTCCTCTTGCTCATTTTATCAAATGGCTGAGGCTCAGAAATTTGCATAAGCCACAAATTTGTCTTGCAAATTTTCTAATCTACAAGATCAGGTTTTTCTTAAATTGTAGCTTTTGGATCGGTCATGTTTTATTTCAAGTATCTTATGTACAAACAGGTTTTGTTCCAGAAGGTAAGCCATTTTCCTTTCTACAGATGTAAAGATGCTTTAAATTCTACCAACAGGTGGTGAGGGTAAGAAAACTTATTACAATTGTATTTTAGTACTAACTGTATTCAAAAGCATTACATTTTGGTAAGATTTAGGCTTCTCTTATTTCTGGTACCAAGAGAAAACATTGTCAGTAAATAACAAATATTGTAATTTTTTAATTAAAATTTATGTCACTAATTTTCAGCAACCAATATAAACATTGGAAATCAGCTAAAAAGGATTATTTATAGACAAGTATTAAGGCAAGAATAAAACTATTACACATACAATCATCGAGCTTGGTCGGTACTTAGTACTTAGTCATTCATCTATGTGTTATAAGCTTGAATCTGGTATAATGGCTCAGAATTGATAACTGGAGAGCCAAGTTCCAATTAGGGTCATTATATTCACTTACTCACAAATACCATCAGGAAAGATATGAAGCCACCTCTTATCTCCCCAGCTATAGGTTAATTAGTAAAACTTGTACCACTAAATGATTGTTAACTTAACAAAAAAAAATCTTACAATGTAAAAATATTTTCTGGCTTTAAATAACCTGCAAAGGGTTGATAAACTGTAAAAAATGAATGAATCAATCAATCTTCAAAGTAATTTTTTTAATTCCTTCTGTGTTTAAACTGAATATATTTACTAATAAAGAATAAGCAATTTTTTAATGATAATAAATTTAATAATACGTAATATTTTTCATTTCTCCTTTGTTTAAACTGAATATCTTTAATAATAAAGAATTTATTAGTATTTTAAATGGACAAAAAATTTAGATTTGAAATATGAATGAAACTGAAATGGACATCTGTGTCACAAAGAATACTTTTCCTGTCTGACAACAACCCCTGGGTAAGAAGAAAAGAGTTAAACAGGCTCTTTGAAGTCAGGGCTTATGTCCATATCATGTTGAAACACTTGTTCCCATACAATCACTGAGGTTAAGCTACATTGAGCCTGGTTACTACCTAGATTGATGACCACTTGGGGATACCAGGTGTTGTAAGCTTGGATGTGCAGGGATGTGTAATATTGCAGAATTGTTAATTGGAGAGACAATTTCCAATTCCAGTTAGGTTCATTATATTCAGTTATGTACAAATACCTTTGAAAAAGGTATGAAATCACCTATTCTTTTCCTATGGGTTAATTAGTCGGACTTTTATCTCTAAATTTAAATCTAAAAATATTTTCTGGCTTCGAATAACCTGCAAAGGATTGATAAGCCGTAAAAAATGAATGCATCAATCAACAGAAATACAATGAAAATTTGCACCAATCAACTGATGTTGGGAACATTTTCAGGTTACATTTATATGATCAATATACTGTATGTTGTATGAGTTTCAGTTTATAATGTGTATCCTTTTAAAGAAATATTGGTAATATCTTCTTTTGATGGTGTCCAATATCATTATGTAAACAAATCAAGTCTAACATAAATGTTTATTTATAAATAAAACAAAAATATATATAAAAAGCCATAACAGTTTTGTTCAACAGACATTAAAATTAACAGGCCACTTCTTGCTCCAGTTCACAACAGATTGGACATTTTCAAGATCAGATGCTAAATTGATTTTATTGAACCAATTACACATGGAGTAAATATTTGTATTATCTACATAGACACCAAGTCAGGAACTGATGACATTAGTTAGGTCATTGATGGAAATAAGAAATAGAGTGGGTACAAGTACAGAGCCTTTGGGGTGGGATCATTTCTTTAACCAATGTTGTTTTTTGCTGCAGACTTAGCTATTGATTCATTCTTCTTGTCAAACTAAAGATCAATAATTTGCAGGGAGTTACTTCTTGAGGTTAGCATTAGTCATGTTGATGGAAGGCAAAAAAAAAAAAAAGTTCTTTAAGATGATTAATAGAGAGCAGTTTCATTTTATGGGGGCATTGAAATTAACAATGAACTTCTTGCTCCAGTTTACAAGAGATACAAAGTCGGGAATTGATAACTTTGGAAAGGTCATTGATAAAAGAAACAGAATGGGTCTAAAAATAGAGCACAAAAACAAAACAAGTACTTACTGCAGTGAAGTTCATCAGCAGAATTGGAACATCTACTAATGCCATCACACCTTTCCTGTTCAGTGTAACAAGGACCAGTGGACGTCCCACAGGAGAAAGTATTGGAGGAACAAGCACCTAAAACAAAACAACAGAAATCAACCAAAAAAATCTAGAAAGAACCAAATAGGAACAGGACTTATTATGACAGTTCACTTTAGAAATAAATATATAAGAATAGTAACAAATCTGGTATAATTGGATATAATTATTTTTTTTTTTATAATTTAAAAAAAAAAAAAAAAAAAAAAAAAAAAAATTAAAATTTTAACTAAATCTCATTTTCTCCTTTATTTCCAAGTAAACATCATTTGCCCAAATGATTGAAGAATGTGTCAACCTAGAGTATTGTTGTTGAACACTGTGTCAACCCAGGAAAAACTGATGGCAATATTTAAGTAATTTTGCAATTATATTGATTATATTTTGTGCATGGGTAATCTCAGATATTTTTAGCCTATATAATTAACTATTGCTATATGTAACAACACCAATGTAGCAGTATTAAGTTACAGCAACTGCCGTCTGTCAAACTCTCTGCGTTAGCAGAGAGGAACCCAGACGAAGCTTTGCCGAAGGGCAAGGTTTCGTTCAGGGAGGTTATGACAGCTCTCGAACTCGCCTAGGCGAGTCGAAGGCTATATTTTTGGCCGGGCCTACGGGCTCAGGTGACCACGTAAAACTCGGCCTTGTGCCACATGCGACCCCACATGGGGGGACAGCTAAATATTGTAACAACACCAATAAAACATACTCACAATCTGATCCCCAACAATTTAAACTTTAACATTCTGTAGGTAACTTTGTTAACCAAAAAATAATCTTGTATTTCTATTGCAATTTATTTGGATCACTGTAATAGTGTTTTTAAATTTTGAAGTTGTGTTGTTATATATATTCCTATAACAGCAAAACTTACCTTGAAGGGAAGTGAGAACTAGTCTATTCCATTTGACGATTTTCTATATACCAGGGAAGTGGAAATAATACCAATGAATAATAGAGTGTTAAAGGAATAATAAAACATTCAGTAATTTGTTTATTGGCAAAAAGTAATGCTTCTTATTACCATAAAAATGGATTATCTCAATACCAAATATGGGAGATAATTATGTGTGACCAATAAATATATAAAGTCATAACACACAAAATATTTTATGAATTCTACTTTTTCTCTTTAAATGTGTCCATTTTCTATGCAATTATTAAATTATGCACTTAAAATTAACTGAAAAGGTTTATGTTTAATATTTTCCTAGTCTGTATATAAGCAGTCAGATACTAAAATCAAATTTATAAAAAAAAACAAAAAAAAAAAAAAAAACAACAAAAAAAAAAACAAAAAAAAAAAAAAAAAAAACAAAAAAAAAAAACCTCCCTAATCTCTATATGGCTCACTTCGAGAGAGAAAAAAAAAACTTAATAGTTTTGCCACATGTTGATATTAACGAAAAAAACTTTAATATGGCTGTTCTACACTGTGTGCTAGAAACAAAAATTGCCCAATTCACATATCTGTTACCATAAAAGCATCAGGCAACTGACAATCCTTCCTATTTAGTACAATGGGGAAGTGCTGTTGTGGAGTTGAAATCTCAGAGACTAGAGACATATGCATCAATTTTGTGCCCTGAAGACAAGTTTGATTTTCATTGAATTGAGTGCCTCATGCCAGACAAACTGGGTTTAGCAAACATCTACATCAAAATCACTACTTTTACTTACCACATCCTCTTTCATCTCCTCCATGTTTTTTACAGTTCCATATCCCATCGCAGTGTTCATGGCTATAATAACATGCATCTTCACCAAATTCACACATTATCTGGCCAGGATAACAACCTATTAAAAATAAATTCAGCATATGATTTTATATTGAAAGTAATTTAAAAAAGAAAAAGAAGCAGTATAAATTCACACACACATCTCTCTTACTATACACACACACACACATCTCTCTTGCTATACACACACACACACATCTCTCTTTGCTATATACACACACACACACACATCTCTCTCTTGCTATACACACACACACACACATCTCTCTTGCTATACACACACACACACACATCTCTCTTGCTATACACACACACACACACACATCTCTCTTGCTATACACACACACACACCTCTCTTGCTATACACACACACACACACACACTCTCTTGCTATACACACACACACACACACATCTCTTGCTATACACACACACACACACATCTCTCTCTTACACACACACACATCTCATCCCCACACACACACATCTCTCTTACACACACACACATCCTCTCTTGCACACACACACACACATCTCTCTTGCACACACATCCCCCACACACACACACACACATCTCTCTTGCCACACACACACACACATCTCTCTTGCCACACACACACATCACATCTCACACACATCACACACACACACACACACACACACACACACACACATCTCTTTGCTACACACACACACACACACATCTCTCTTGCTACACACACACACACACAATCTCTCTTACACACACACACACACACAATCTCTCTTGCTACACACACACACACACATCTCTCTTGCTACACACACACACACACAAGTTAATGGTCAGAGTTGAATCAGACCAGGAAACAGTAGTATTAAAAAGTTCTCAATACACATGTGAAAAAAAAAAAATAAATAAATAGAAGTAAAAATAACATATTTAGGGATTTTTACATTTCCAGATCCAAAAAATCTTTTAAACTAAAAATCCAAAATTTTAAGTCCTTGCCACCATATCAGAAAATTAAGTGAATATGAGGCTGGATAAAAAAAAAATCTAATTTAAAACCCCACTGTTATTCTTAAGATATGCTTGCCTCCCCATCCTTCCTTACATTTATATCACATTTGCTTTTCTTCTTCTTCTTCTTTTCTGTATACATTTACAATACACTTGCATTCCCATTCCTTTCTTTATACCCCCTTCCTTTCTTTTATACCCCCTTCCTTTCTTTTATACCCCCTTCCTTTCTATTATACTCCACATGTCTTGACAGTCATGCGCCTATTTACTTATTTCTGAAAAATAATAATGTAGCATTCTTAGTGCCACCTTTTTTAAAATAAAGCGTTAAGGTGGTCATTTGAAATATATTGCCTGATGAGACTGTGAGGTCGAAACCAAGTTCGCATATTCAATTGACCTCCTTTATATATATATATATATTTTTAAATATATATATATAATCTCCAGTTGGTTTGAATCCAGGTTTTTACATTTCACCTTTGTTCACAGATTCTATTATCACAATGTTGAATACTTAATAACAAAAGTGATAAAAATATAAGCAAAAAGAAACCAAACGAAATTGGCTAGACTAGAGATAAAAAATAAGTAAAAATAGCAGCTAGGACTCATCATTTTTATAGTTGAAGTGGTTAGATGTAACTAAATTCTATGCTAAAAGTTTCTTTTCTCATTTGTCAAACTCTTTCAGCCTCAAACGTTATCTGTCTTTTCAATTCCGGTTTTATTTATTTTATTTTTTCATATTCACTCACATTCAGTAACCCCTTGCATCTTAGTGGCCTTATTGTCTTGCATTGGGTGAAATGGTCAAAAAAAAAAAAAAAAAAAAAATTCAATCTTTTTCCACATTATTTAATACTGAATTTTGTTGTCTTGATAAACAGTATATAGGTAGACATTGGTTTGTGCAAGAGTCAAAAAAAAAAAAAAAAAGAAAGACATTGGTCCATTCTTCATATGAGTCAAAGGTCAGAATGTTTTTTTTTTTTTTCCTACAATAGTAAAAAAGGTAGAGATATGTACGGCAAACAAGGTCCCTTTTAAGGGGATTTTATCCTCTGCATATAAATGCTGTGGGTTTATTCTTGACCCCCAACCAACAGGGAGAGTAATCAAAAGAATAAAGGAATCTAATGCTAATGAGTGTCAAGAAAAGGGTTCTTTTCATTACAAAACTTTGTACATAAAGTCGTGGGGGGGTTCAATTTTTCATTGTTATTAAGAGATTACTTCATAATGTAATACATAGGTTGTAAAACAGGGGATACATTTTACACTTAAATCTACCATCATTAAAACATATAGAATCTATCAGCCTAACTGTAACAATAAGTTGAACAGAAAAACTAGTTTTCATACATAAAATACACACAACTAAAGACTTACTTTGAATAGAGTTCTCCTTACCTCGTCGCTGGAAGTTAGCATTTATACCCCAGCCAGGTTTCAAACTGTCTGTGTGGTAGACAATATACATATCATTTGTTGTTGATTCTATGAGTAGCTTGTTACCAATTGCATTATTATGGGAGAACTTTCTCAGCACCCGACCAGTGGCATCCTTGCCATTATAAATAGTGACCGAATCATTCTTGTAGAGCAACAACCGAAAGGTCAGTCGTACCCTGGCACTTGGTCCACTCACATGCACACTCCACTGACAGTTGAGGCTTTTATTGTACAGAGATGGGATTTGGGGTGTCCTGAAACTGCCTTCAACACCTCTGATGTCCTTTTTGCAAATGGAACTAGATGCTGATAAGGTTGGTAAGAAACAGAAAGAAAAATCAATGGTTAGCTTATTTTAGAAAGTCAAGAAATAAATGAAAATATGTAAAAGGCCCCAAGCATTAGTTAAAAAACAACCCCCAAAATTAGTGTTTAAAAAGAGAAACTTTTTATTCACAATTTGAACTCATTCTTCACTTTCTCTATATCTTATATTGTTATTATTACACCAACTGATGATAAATCCTGTTATGGTCTCCGCATTCCTTAAGATAGCTTAGCTGTAGAGATTTAAAAAAGGGTTTATGTCTTTTATTGAAATGACTATTAGAAACAAAGAATGACAAAATCAGATTTAAATAGTTTGGACATTAGCACTTCTGGCTGCCAGCTCTTGATATACAATGTTTGATCAAAAAGTATCAGGACTGTTGCTATGATAACGAAGCTAAAGTAAGCAGAGTGAAATTTCTTGGCACAGATTGACCATGGACTATGTTGTGTTTACACAGTGTTATAACGTCACTCACTTCTGTTGTTTATAGCAGTTCCTAGAAGGAAAGTGTGTAGAGTGCAGTTGTCTCACTACACAGAGATTCCATCAGTGATCATAGCTTGTGAAGCAGTTTTTGGCCAAGCACAATATTCCCCCAGGTATGACAACCATCATATTCCCCCATATTTCACCCCTTGCACATTTTTCCTCCTCAAAAATCAAATCCCACTTGAAAGGAACAAAATTTCAAGACATCGAAGAAATCCAAGTGAATGCAACAAGGCTCACTACCCCCTCCCCCGAAAGTGTTCTAGGAATGCTTCCATCAATGGAAACAATGTTGGATAAAGTGTATAGCTTCAGAAGAGGGCTACTTTGAAGGAGATTAAATACTGAACTGATATGTGTTGTTGCTTTTTTTTTTATACCACCAGTCCCGATACTTTTTGATCAGTCCTTGTATAACATAATTGAAACAATTCTATATCCTCTACACATTATACAATATTTACATTATTTGGACTATCGTCCTCATCTTTGTCGCCACATTTATTACAATGTGTCAGCCATTGTATGCTCTGGCCTTCTTCAGGTAGTTGGAATGTCGAACTGAACCCTTTATTTCGCTCACTGGGGTAGACTGTTCTAGTTCCACGTACCATGTTTAATGGATATCAGTTATTTCCTGTTAATTCCCCTCTCCAAATTCTCCACTGCCTTAACCGGGTATTGAACTCACACTCTTTGGGTCCTGTCACTGGATCTAACCAATACTCGGAGAGGGGAATTAACAGGAGATAACTGATATCCATTAAACATGGCACGGAACTAGAGCAGTCTAGCAATGAGTGAAATAAAGGGTTAAGTTCACATTCAAACCAATTCAAGAAGGACGGAGCGCATAAACGTCTTCAACGTTATAATAAATATGGCGACAAAGATGAGGACAATAGTCCGAATAATGTAAATAGTGTACATAATATACCTCATCTCAGAAACAGACAGATACACATTATACAAGTGTGAAGGTCTGAAGCCTAAAATATAGTTATTAGATGAATTTTGATTTGACAATTTTACTGTATAATTTGGTTAAAGAGGAATTCTATTGAAAACAATTTTTTTAACATTAGGCTATAGACTTATTGATTTACCTACACATATAAAAGAATATATGTAATAAGGTAGGAGACTATGCTTTACACCTTTCATTAGTAAAGAAATTAACTTATCACAATCTTTTTCATCTCACATATCCAAACAGTCATTAATTCCATCACTAATCATGGAATGGCACTGCCATTTTGGATTGCACTGAATAATCCAAAGTCAACTTGTGATCACATCGGGAACCAGCAGAAAATTATATTACACTCTAAGCACAAAGTAATTTTACCATTATATAAAAAAAATATATAAAAAGAAAAATCCAAAAAAAAAAAAAAAAATAAAATCAATTAGATTACATACCAAAAACAAAATTTAACAAAAAAAAAAAAAAAAAAATTCATAATATTCACTCACCGAGACTATATTGATCACAGAAAATCTACTAAATGCATATTTATATATTAAATGTTCAAATTTAAATTCTACAGTTACAGCTGTCAATCTTTCATTTTTATCACAACTGAAAAACTAATAATCTTGCTTTTTGAAATTTAAATTATGGCTCCAGTAGTTAATCATGCAAGCTCTTTATAATAAATAATGTAACTGTATCCTATGCTGAATTTTTTTTTTTTCCCCCCAATGATGTTTACCTTGTACAAGGCCCAAGCGCCAACTTGTATGGTCAACTTTGATCTTACTTATAAAACGCAGATTTTATAGTGTGTGTGTGTGTGTGTGTGTGTGTGTGTGTGTAACGTTTATATATTGGATCAAATTTCCTACATTTTTTAACCGATTTCAACAAAACTTCACAGGACTACATAAAATTACCTTGTGGTGGTTCTAACATTTGAATGGTAAAATGGGAAAAAACACAATTGTTTTTTAACAAAATCAATTTGAAAACACGATTAAGACACATTGTGAGAATGAAAGGGGGACAACTCACCCACGAAAATGTAAACAAAAGAGCATAGCATGATGAAAAAAAATGACGCAATAACTTGAAATGGAAAACAAAATTTTATCGTCTAATGTTCATATTATTATTAAAGAGGAAAGATCAAAGTATTTTTGGGTATTTTTTTTACATTTTTTAATCATTCCTAGCACGTCTGAAATTTTTAATTAAAAATATTGTTTTTTTTGGTCAAAAAAAAAAAAAAAAAAGGAGATAATCAATCATTTTTTTTCGATTTGATAAAAAAAGATTAAAATCTGACTTTGATATTTTTTAAAAATCAATTATCATTTTTTCAAAATTGATTTTAATAAAAATAGAAATTATACTGTTTATTTAAAATATTTTGAACCAAGCTTAACTTAGCTTCTGCGTCTCTTTTAAAATGTAATTTGAAAATAAAACAAAGCAGGTCATAACCTTTCACGTCGCTTTGATTGACGAAAGGCACATTCATGATGTTTAGATAACTTACGGGAGGATAATTCTTTCTACGGATGGAAGGAAGTGAAATTATTTAAGTGAACAAATTATTTACCTCGTTACTTTTAAGGAAAACTTTCAGCGCTCTAATTTTTTATTTTTTTTGTACTTAGCTTTCATTTTTACGTTTACAATGCTTTATGGAAAATATAAAGAAATTAAAAAATAAGACTGTTAATAGTGAGATTAAATTTCATAAGAAAAAGGTATCTAATTAATTTAGGTACCTTTCTTATGAAATTTTATCAGAAGTGTACATAAAATACTATAATTTTATGTACATTTATTACATTTTACTGTGTTATTTGTATTTCCATTCATTTTATTATTAATTTTGATATTTCATTTATGGAAAAATGTCATAACTGAGATTAATATAAAAATAAGATCATATAAATTAAAGTTTAGCAGTAGTTAAATTTCATAAGATGATACTCTTACTTGTAGGTACCCTTCTCAGTTGAAATTGAAAACTCAAATTAACTTCTCCATACGTGTTTCAAAAAAGTAAAGGGCTTAACAGCGGAGAACAATGCTGAACTCAAATAATGCAACTAAATTGTATTCTGGTTGGTCTTCCGTACTTGATAATTACTGTCCGACTATAAACACAAAAATTACATTTTTTAATTACCATGGCTAATCTGATTGGTCCAAATTATACAATTTTCAAAGCGCTAGACAATGACAATCTCACACGGACATTTTGAAAGGTTGATGTTGCTTTTAACTAATGTTAAAATATTTTTAAAAATTCAATTTAAAAATTTTTTTTAAATCTTTTTAAAATTAAAAAAATAAGAAATAATTGTATTAAAAATTCAATTTTCATTGAAAAAATTTTTTGCTTTCAGAAAATATTGTCCATATTCATAACAACAAATTAAAACAAATAAAAGCATTTGAAACTAATAATATATTTGTTTTATCGAGTTTTTGTATGTTACAATTCACAGCTGATTTTCAGGTATGTTGGCCAAAAAAAAAAAAAAAAAAAAACATGATTTGCATTCTTCAAAGCCTTGTGCTTTTTGTAATCACTAAAACCGATGGTCTCGAATTTCTAGAGTTTTTCATAAAATTAGTTATGGGGTGTTAATAAATATATAAAAAATATTTCTGCCATGACTTTAATAAAAAAAAATTTATAATAATTTCGATCATCTGTGAATAGTTTCTGAAAGTTTCATTAACATCTGACAATTATTTTTTTTTTTGCAAGATTTTCCAAATTAATGTGTGTAAAAAAAAAAAAAAAGCTAAAATTATTCATGTTATTTACTACCCCTTGTTGCACAAAGAGAAACAAGGTTTTTTAAATCAAAATTTAGAATATTCTAAAAAGATGGAAAAATTTTAGAAAATAATTTAAAAAAAATTTAGTCTATCCTCTTCATAAAAACATAAGCATTTTGACGATAAAATTTTGTTTTCATAAACTTTGGCGTCTTTTTCATCAGACTATGCTCTATGTTTTAGGCTAAAACTTTTAGCAATTCCGTGGAGTGACTTAAGTTAAAAACCCAGGTTGTCACCATGTGTTCCTTTTATATATGGGATTGATTTCTTACATTTTTCAGCCAATAAAACAAACATCCACTTTTTTTTTGGGTAGTATTTCTTATTGTCTTGCACACTTTTTTTTTTTATTTATACATTCAGAATGCTTTAAAAATTCCATTTACAAGACAATTGTTTATAATAAAATTAATCTAATTCTATTCAATCAGGGGACTCATCATAACGATTGAAAACAATGTTTTTGTTTGAGTTTGGGTTTGACCAATTCGTAAAAAAAAAAAAAAAAAAAACTAAGACATGCGTGTCCGTCAACCTAAACAATAATCTAACGATCTCTACTGATTGTACAATCAAAAATCGGATAATTCTTTATCTTTAGAGAAAGATAATTCCAATGCACTTTAGGGACGTTTTTACAATTCCCTTTGCAATTTGTTACAAGGTAGATCAATAAGGCAATGGTTCTATTTGAAATTAATACTTTCTTTTAAATATTGAATTAAGAAATAATTTAAAAATGCCGACGTAAGAAATCTGATAGACAAAAACAACAATATTTCAAGATGATAATTATTAAGGAAAGAACACAGTACTTGTAATAAATTAATAAACCCAAATAAAGTTAATATTTTTTGTATTAGAAACAACGAAAGAAAAATATATTCAAATCAGAATTCTAATTATGAATCACCACAAGCAAAATATTCAATTTTTTTACTGAATTCAATAAGTAAAAATCATAAATTGTAAAAGATTACAGAGAAAGGCTACCTACATTTTCAACCGATTTCAACAAAACTTCACTTTTTTTTGGCAGCTAGTGTTTCTTATTGTCTTGCACATTTTTTCTTTATTTTTACATTCAGAATGCTTTAAAAATTCCATTTACAAGACAATTGTTTATAATAAAATTCTATTCACCAATCGATAGACTCATAACGATTGTAAACAATGTTTTTGTTTGAATTTGGGTTTGACCAATTTGTAAAAAAAAAAACTAATTAAGACATGCGTGTCCGTCAACCTTAAACAATAATCTTTGTCAATTTTATTTTTCAGTCTTTATGATGGTCGATACTTGATCTATCTCTTACTGTTACATCCCCGGGCAACGCTGGGCTCTACTGCTAGTCTTCAATAATTTAAATGTAACATTTATTCTTATCTTCTGTATTTTTAATTCCTATTCTTTTATTGTTCTCTCTCCTTAATAATGGTTTCATTTTCTCATAAGTCAATTCAACATTCAAAATTTCAATATCAAACACCAAAGCAACGATTATGTTTGACAAATGTTCAAGATGGTTGCACTTTCAACCAGAAACAACACTTGCAAATATGTTTACTTTGGGAGTTAGCAGCAGAAAAACACAAGGCCAGTTGAAAATGGACAGAAATTGATGCATTTTTTTCATTAAAAATGAACTAGAAAAAGCTTAAAAAAAGCATTTTAAAATTATACTTGATATGTTAAATTTCTTTCAGAAAAATTACTTTTTTCTTCATTTTTGATAATTTAGGTATTCAGTTATTTGGAAATTGGATTATCTGAATATATTTTTCTAACTCCTGTCCAAAGTTGTTTGGATAATAGAGGAATTATAGCATTGTGAAAAGCATAGAAATATTTTTTTTGACAAAAGAGTTTTGCAAAATACTAATAGATAAATAAAATGAAAATAGTTTGTATGAAATAAAACATATGTATTGATAGTAACCTGTTGAGATTGAAATAAAATTTACTGTAAAAATGCCAGGAGATACTGCTTATTATAAATGTAGTAAAAATTGCAACTTTTATTTTATTTTTTTCTTAAAATCAATCCAAAGTGAGGAGGGGAAACAAAAAGGAATACTTACTGCTACAATTTTCTTCATCACTGTTGTCTCCACATTCATCCCTTTTATTACACTTCCAATGATTCAAGATACACTTGCCATTCCGACATGAAAATTCATTCTTCTCACAAGGGCTAATTGATGGCACATGTCCTGCAATAAGAAAGGTAAAAAAAAAAAAATAAATCAATTTTGTTATTTGCTAAATTCAATTAATTTTTGCTTAATGTGAAGTGACCAATAAAAGTGAAAGCTGGCATGATCAAAAAATATATATCTTATTCAGTAACATGATCAAAGGAGGACATGTGGAATTACAGGACCAACTAAGGACACACTACCAAGTACTGATGTGGATTTGGCTAGAAAACACACACATATAAAAGCATTGATTAAAAAATCTGCTCCAGGATTCTTTTTCTAGTTATAATAGAAGTTCTTTAACTCTAAAATTTCTGTATAAACAATATTTTCATCAAGACATCTATTTTTTAAAGTTCTTTTTACCATTATACTAAGTCGACTTGAATTTCCTACTCTGAACATAGCTACATAGAGCTGACCATGAGAGAAACATTTGAATCATTTTCTAATGCTTATATTAATAATAACAATGATAAAATTTCTATATGAACAACATTTTCATCGAGACATCTATTTTCTAAAGTTCTTTTTACCATTATACTAAGTCGACTTGAATTTCCTACTCTGGACATAGCTACATAGAGCTGACCATGAGAGAAACATTTGAATCATTTTCTAATGTTTATATTAGTAACAATGATCACATTTCTGTATAAACATTTTCATCAAGACATTAATTTCTAAATTTGTTATGCTAAGTCAACTTGAATTTCCTACTCTGGACATAGCTACATAGAGCTGACCAGGACTTGTCTCTTTCACTGAATCAGAGTATGATGGTTTTTTTTTTTTAGGTGACACTACCCAACACAGAGTAGGAAACCACAACTATCAGATAACTAGTTGTTTAATTAATGTTTTTATACACTTGGCCATGTTTTATGAAGGGCAATTTAGTGGTTAAAACCTGGAACCTTAAACATAATGTGACTTGTTTACCTTTTCAACTGAACCCAACTTTACATGTGGTGCAATTAAAAACTCCCATATGGTGTTCATTCTTCTGCTAAGCCTACTGATTATTGGAGCCTAGCATGTGTGCTAATTCTTTCAACTACTTTGTCTTCCAGTGTTGTTCTCTATACTAATTTTATTGTCTATTAAAAGGGGACATTAATGGAAGATTTGCTACAGATACCAGAGTAGCAGCTTGATGCAAAATTCATCTTGGTGTGTAATTATTATAGTTTCACCCATTTATGGCTTTGTGTCTCAACTAAGCTACACTTTTTTTCAGGCTGTGTAGGTGTCATTGCCCTGCAATTTATATATATGCATAGTTGAGGCCTCCAAGAGGACAATCTCAATGCTTACTACTGTAGGCTATAATTTTATCACAGATAGGTTAGGTTTGTTTTACGGCATATCAACCTCAATGGGTCATTTAATGCCGACAACTTTTCTTTTTTTCTGTTAATATTTTTGTTTTGTCAAAAATCTATTTCTGTTAATATTTTTGTTTTGTCAAAAAGCCATTTCTGTTAATATTTTTGTTTTGTCAAAAAGCCATTTCTGTTAATATTTTTGTTTTGTCAAAAACGTACGGCTGTTAATATTTTTTTTTTCAAAAATGTATTATCAGAGGCCTTGCTAACTGTCGTCCGACTCGTTACTCTTACTACTCCTACTTATTATAGGTGGGAGAGTCTATTAACTATAGAATAGGTGTGTTTCACCATAACAGAGATCCTTCCAGAGTGAGGTGAACATGTGTACTGCAAGTGAAAATACTCTCAAAGCTTGGTGCTAGCTGTGCCAACTAGCAGAGGCTTAAATGAAACTTGCTCATATCTCAAGGCAAAAAAAAATTGGCCAAACTCCAACTCAAAAAACTCATATGCTGGTACACTCGTATCTCAAGACATTACTGTATTTGGAACATTAACTTACCTGTGATGTACTCAAGAGCAAAGCCATGTCCCTGCCCTTCAGTACTATTTGTAACAAAACGAACAATTACATGGTCTCTTTGGGATATGTAGGTGCTACTGGAGCTAGAACTGCAGAATTTTTTATGTGGTACAGGAGCAAACTCCAAGTAGGAAGTCCGACACTGGCCATCTTGGTCGGAACTGATATTTAAGTAGATCAAACTGATGAAGAGAAAAAAAGTTAATGATGAGAATGAAAATCATTTTATTTGCAAGGTTTGATCAAAAAAGAAAAAAAAATCAGGACTGGTACTATGAAAAGAAAACTACAACACATATCAATTCAGCATTTAATATTCTTCAAAGTAATCCCCTTCTCAAAGCCACACATTTTATCCCGTCTGCTTAGCTATTTAACCCATATCAGAAGGATGAATTCATACCTTTCCCAAAACCACTAGTATCAAAGTGAACACAACAGACTAGGCCAGAGTTTGAACTCAGTTTGCCGATTTTACTTATAACGTTGATAATTCATACATCACATGTTTATTTCAGATTTAAGTATTTTTTCCAAGGTTAAACTTTCCAACACCGATAAGAATATTTTTAAATTTGTGAAATACAACAAAAAAGACATCAACTATTAATGACAATAGTTATATCTCCCAAGTTCTAAATGGTAAGCATTTGTATTGAAATATTTTCATGGTAATTGTTCTATGGTAGCTAAACTTAATGAATTTAAGCAAAGTACTAAATTAGCTGCAAGGTCATTATTTTACAGTTGAAATGGCTAGATGCAAACATAAGTACTATGCTAACAGTTTCTTCTATCGCACTTCTTGCTTGCGGAACTCACATCCAATTTCTTGCTTTAGAAAGGGGGAGAAAGAGAAAGAAGAGAGAGGAGAGAGAAAAAAAGTAAAAAAAAAAAGCAAAAATTTTTTTCCCCTTGAGTAGGTTAATGAATATATTTCAAGATTATATATCTTGCTGTTCTTTCTTTTTATTTCTATATATATATATATATATATATATATATATATATATTTAGAACATAGGAGGCGACAGTGTTTCATGCTAGACGCAATGTGGCCTGACGATTGCGTCAAGCATGAAACAGACTGCCACCTCTAAGTGTTGACTTCTATGTTCACTTTATATTTACACACGCTCTATCTCTAATATTGAGCACTTTATCCCATAAATATAGCACATCTTAAGACTATATTTCTTCACACACACACATATATATATATATATATATATATATACACACACAGTCAAAAATATGATATAATATTAGTTATAATACTAAATTATATCGATTATTATACTAGGTTTTTATTTTACTTTTTATAATACCAAATTATGAAGTGGGCATTAATTGGTTAATAAAAATTTACTATTTAAAGCAATTTTTGACACAAAGAAATTTCTTCAAGTAGAGGGAAATTTGAGATAATTATAGCTTTAATCAACCAAATAAAAAGCACTTCAGCAAAAAAAAAAAAAAAAAAAAAAAATTTTTTTTTTTTTAATTTTACTTTTAAAGTTGCTTTCATACTTAATAAAATTAAGATTTTTTTTCCCTTCATAATCTCTACTTCTGATTGGTGAGTTTGTGCTCACTAATGTACCCTGAAAATTAGCCAGTTGCGCCCCAAGTTAACAAAAGATTAATTTATGAATTATTTTTATATTAAAAAAAAAAAAAAAAAAAAAAAAAAAATAAAATGCTAGAGACAGCAAGCACTTGGCTTCCATGTCTAAGTTTGTCATTTTATATTTTAAACTGGATGTTAAATTCCTTAATCTTTAAGGAGTGGATAATACTTTCCCCCTTTCTCAAGGCATAACATATAATGCCTAACATTCAAAAAATTGCCAAAGGACAGATTTTATATAAATGTAGTATCTTAAACAATAAGTGCTTATTTCTGGAGATTTCACTATTTTTCAATTTTAAAAATTCATGACTAATTCCTCAGCGGTTTTATAGTTATTCAATAAAGTATGAAATCTTGTTTAAGTATTAAGTCAATAAGAATTTTTTTTTTTTTTAATTTGAATATCTGGGACGTATTCTAACAGAGGACGAAAAAATGTGATACTGAAATCTGAAGATGAATTGGGATAGCGAAAGATGCATTACAAAAGCTAAGCAGAGTATTAAGAGACAGGAAAACTTTGTTAGAAACAAAAAAAAAAAAAAAAAAAAAAAAAAAAAGAGTACTGATATCAGTCATCCTGTATGACAGTGAATATAGGACAATTTCCTCAAAGATGAAGAAAAAGACTTGAAGCAACAAAAATATGGTTTTACAGAAAGATCCTGAGAATACCATAGACAGAACATGTGAGCAACGACAATATTTTAGAGAAAATGGAAACAAAAAGGAAACATACTTAACATCAGGAAAAGACAGCTGAAATTTCTACAGAAGTATGCTGAGGATACCATGGACCAAACATGTGAGCAATGACAAGGTTTTAAGGAAAATGGAAACAAAAAGGAAACTTATACTTTAACATCAGGAAAAGATAGTTGAAATTTCTGGGGCCCATAATGAGAAAGGAGAGCTTGGAAAATCTGCTACTCACATGACAGGAAAGCAACATATAACATACTTTATGAGCTGGAGAAAATGGAATGGCTGAACAGAGTTTAGAAATAATAAAAAGATAGAATTCATTTAGAGCTCAAGGGACAGGAAGATGTGACAGGTCATGATTGCCATCATCCTGAGGGGACACAGCACATGAAGAAAAAGTATGGAAATGTCAATCAACAAACATTAAATCAGTCAGCCTGGTGTCAATAACAGTCATATAATGTCAACAGCAGGGTTTTACACACTCCACTCTTTTTGGAGCTGTTCCCACTCCTATACCCAAAATTGGAGCTAGCTCCTCTCACACTCCCCATTTTCAAAAAGGAACCGCTTCATTAAAAAAAGAGCAGTTCTTTTTCGGCACTCCATTAAAATGTACATTCTTTCATAAACATTGGACATAACCAGACAGAACCCCATTCATAAATAATACAGTGCCTGGGAAAATTTGGTAACAGAAAATTCTGTAATTTTGATAAGGTAGGAAAATGTATTATTACCTATGGGGCAGTGTAGAAAAACCCCACTGCAACAATATCAGGGCCATAAATGTCCGGATTGGGGGCTTAGGGGGCTAATTAATATGTTAAAAAGTAAATTAAATTTTATTTCTGGACAAAAAGTATCATTTCAGACCAAGAATCAATTTTATTCAACATTTGGACAATTTTTTTTTAATAACTTTCTTTAAATAATAATAATGATAATAATAATGATAATAATGATGATGATGATATCAATGTGTACAAAAGTAAATTAAAATTTATTCATTCAGCAATGAAAATTTGTCATAAAAACAAAAAAGTTCAAACCTTTCTTCCCCCATACCAATATCTACAGACAGCTTTTATACTCTCTCACTCCAACACTCACACACATACATCTAATAAAAAATTTTTTCAAACTGTCTCCTGCAACTTAAAAGAAATGTCCTAGACATCAGAACAGTAACACCTAGGTGTCAAAGTCATTTGCCTTTTCCCCACCCCTAATAGAAGTTGAAATTGTTTCCATTTTCATGTGTAACTAACACACACGTGCACACTCACACATTTTATTACTCTCTCATATATACATTTACCACAGATATAATAAAAAAATAACTCAGTTTAGCACAGATTTTCCTTTCTTTTTTTTATTGTGGAATGCAAACTAATGTTTAAAAAAAATTCAAATAATTTTAGAGAGAGAAGTGCAGAGTGCAAAAAACCCTGCTTTTTAGTCCCAAACAGAGCTGCTCACGCTCCACTCTGGTTGAATATAAAATGTGCCCTCTTCTCCTTTGCCCCAGTAAAAAGGAGTGTGTTCCTTTTTGGAAGGCTCTATAAAGCCCCAGTCAACAGTTAACATAAAAATCTGTAGTAGCTGTAACTGTTTCCATTGCTTGAATAGACTTTTTCCCCAAAGGAAAAGAAAATCTATGAAGCATATAGAAAGTATAGTAGTAAAAACATTATTTTAAGGAAATATACCATAGATGATGATGAGGATTGTTATTGATGGATTCATTTTTTTTTATCGACCATTTGCAAATTATTTAAAGCCAGAAAATATTTTTTGAAATTCTATTTTTTTTTTTTTTTTTTTTTTAAAGATAATGGTTTAGTGATATAAATCTTACTAATTAAGCTGTGGTAAGAAGAGATAGATTCATACCTTTCCCAAAGGTATTTGCATGTAAATGAATATAACAAACCCAACTAGAATTAGAACTTGGCTGTCTGATTAACAATTCTGAGCCATTATCCATTACACCAGGGGTTTTCAAATGTTTTAACTTGCGGACCCCTTTATATTTCAGGCTTTACCTTAGGGAACCCCTTATAAATGCTTATGAAATTTATACATAAATATTTGCTGAATATAACATAATTTTGCATTAATGCAATAAAAGCTGGTTTAAAGCTTATTTTAGACATAAGTGTTCAAATAAATTAATGCTGCATGTTGCTGCAAAATGTAACAAAATTAAATTTTGTTATATTAAAATATTAATTTTACATGTAAATGAAAACAGTAATAGTATTTAACAAATAGTTTTATTGTCAATTACACACACAGGATATTTTAATACACAGTGAGAAGGATGTGCTTTCTTGGCTTTGCACAAACTGTCAATTCTTGGCGATATCACTGATAAACATACACGTAAGTCACTTTCATCACATGTGACGCCTAACAGCCAATGAGAAAGCCGGAAATTGCAAAATAGATTCAAAATTCAAATCCTTTGGTTCCTTCTCTGCATGAATAGAATCCATTATCTTTATCAATTTAAGATACAAATTATATTAGTATATCAAATCTATGAAATAGTTTATTGAATCAATTTATTTCATGATTGGCCTATAAGTTACTTATAAGCGCTTATAAGTTGCACATCACCCATAAAAATGTCTTTGCTGTCCACAGACCCCCTATCTTGTCCATGCGAACCCCCTGTGGTCTGCAGACCACGGTTTGAAAACCCCTGCATTACACCACCTGCACATCTAACCTTACAGCATCTGGAGGCCACCCATCTAGGTACTCACCAGGTTCAACTTTGCTTAACTAGTGATTGTATAGGAAACACTGTTTCAATGTGATGTGGCCGTTAGCAAAAAAGAGGATAACTATAATCCATTACAAACATGTTATATAAGTGAAAATAACTTACTTGATGGTTACTGTGCCATTCTGAGGGGCTCGGATAGACCAAATTTCTGTAAATGGTCCTTTGATAGAGGGGAACATAAGACTTGAAATGTTTCCTGTCCGGTTGGAAATCACATGCCGAAGCTCACCATCTGGAAAGAATAAGGAAAACCAGTTGATAATATATATTCATAATATAAAACCGACCAATCAATACAAAAAAAAGTTTATACTAATCTAAACCAGTTATTTTATACTGCTCTGACTTTGAAAGATTTTAATTTAAAATATAACCAATTCCCTAAAAATAAATTTATCAAGAATGTATTACATTATTTTATGTCAAAATCTTCACATTCTGATATTTTATTGAAAAGTTGAGCACTTCAAGAAAATATCTTGATATAGATCATACTAATTCATAGAAGGAATAAGCTGCATATATGTAAAAATGTCAATCATAAAAATATTACCTGTAAAAACAAAAGTAATCATTTAAAGAGTTGCTCCCCTTTAATAAATAATGGCATCCTATGGTAATTTTCTAAGTGTAGCTTAGATGTGACAATACTCACTACTTGTAATTGTCCTAGTGAAACAAACTTGCTAACCATTAAACCATGTAAAGAGGGATATTTCAGCAAATCTCTATACAGATATTTCAGCAAATCTCTATACAGATATTTCAGCAAATCTCTATACAGATATTTCAGCAAATCTCTATACAGATATTTCAGCAAATCTCTATACAGATATTTCAGCAAATCTCTATACAGATATTTCAGCAAATCTCTATACAGATATTTCAAAAATCTCTATACAGATATTTCAGCAAATTATTTCAGCAAATCTCTATACAGATATTTCAGCAAATCTCTATACAGATATTTCAGCAAATCTCTATACAGATATTTCAGCAAATCTCTATACAGATATTTCAGCAAATCTCTATACAGATATTTCAGCAAATCTCTATACAGATATTTCAGCAAATCTCTATACAGATATTTCAGCAAATCTCTATACAGATATTTCAGCAAACCTTTCTATGTGGATAATTAGCAAATTTTACTACATCTATATAGATATTTAGCAAACTTAACATGGTATAAAGCTAAATCTAGAAAGGAAAAAAATAGTAGGAAGTTCATATTAGGCCATTGTTCTAAGTGGGAGAGGGATATTGAACAACCTGGATGGAGTATATACAAATCTATTAAGAAAAATCCAGAACATCAGTTGATCTTATGCAACACTTAACACAATCTATGAAGAACTGAGACCAATCTCAGTTAAGCTCAAGCAAAAATGACTACAGTTTGCCAGCCGCTGAGCAGACAGGGAAGCCATCTCATCCTTACTCCTATGGTATCCTTCTGGAAGTATCGTCTTATGAAAATTGACTTTTCCAGACACCATAACTTGGTACTCTGGGTTGGATATTGGGGATCTGGGGACAGCAATCTAGAACTGAACAGCATGGAAAGGGATTGTCAATAGAGTTCCAACCAACCATAGGGAGATCGAAGGATGATGATAACTTAGCAACCTTGAAAATTAGTTTACAAAATTCTGGTTTCTGCCTGGGCTTAAATACTATCAACTTAAGGAGATAAATATAAAACTATATACACAAGCAAGCCTTATATAACTGTATGCATGTGTGTGTGTGTGTGCGCACTACAGCAGGTATTTGAGGAAGTATACATTTTGCAGGCCAGAAATGGAAGACTATCTCATGAAACGTTATACTGTACGAGTCAAATTTTTAATTATTTCTCTTTCAGATATATCTAGGCCATTAACATGGCAATTTCCTCCCTGACACAGAAAATAAAAGGGTATAGCAAGCTTGTGGTACAAGATGACAGCCACAGGGACATAGATAACCTCTTGAAAGTGACTAGGTGAACAGGAGAAATGAACAATAGCTCAATGCCAGCATCTACATTAAGGTGCTGGACACTGATCAAACTCTAAATGAAAGGGGTGGCTACATATGTTACAGCAGGATTGTTCCCTCCCACGAGGCAAATGTGACCTAGAAGTAGCTGGTTGGGAATTTTCAGTATGGTATCACTCCCAACATATGGCCTCTTATTTCTCTTGATTTGAATTCTATGAAGTATTTTGGTTCAGGCCAAGTAGAGAGAGAAAGAGAGCGAGAGAGACCATTCCGCAGATCCAGAATACCAAGAACTTGAAAGTTGACATCATGTACATGATGGAAATATCAATGGAGAACTACCTAAACTGGGCATACTATCACTTCTGGGGCCCACATCAAAACTGCCCTTTTCTGGAGAAGAAATATATTTTTCATTTAAAAAATATTTTAACAATGTTTAACTTTTGCCCCCCCCCCAAATAGTGTGTTAAAAGGATGGTTATTCCCTTGACACCACTATTACTATATACACATGCTTGACACCATTTGCAATTTTTATTTTCAAGATTATAACAATATGTTAATCAAGTACAATGTAATATTCATTATTTACTTTTTATAAAGAAATAAATTTGAAAAAAAATATTTTTATCCAAAAATTTATAAAATATTACAAAATTATCAAAATATGTAAACCAACTACTTTGTAGTTTTTTTTTTTTTTTTTTTTTTAGGAGGCTATTTGTGTGTATAGGAGTGGAAGATAATAGTTAACCCTAGCCTTGAAGCTAAGATTGTAATGATTGCAGAAACATCCTGTTGGGAGTCTGTTCCACAGGGCAGTGATTTGATGAAAGCTGCTGCTTGAGTGGAACTTACTTCTCACTGATGGACTACGGAGGGAATGTGAGTGGTTTGCTACTATGTAATTGGTACAATCTAACATATAAATAGTACTTAATAACAGTCATCAATTCTCAAGTATAAAGAAAATGTATAAATCCATTTCATGTTTGGGTTTTATTAAAATTTTCATCCTCACTTAAAAAAATATATATTGCCAAAGGGGTCAAAAGTGCATACAGTAATAGTGATGTCAAAGGAATAACCACACTTGACACCATTTTTGAGGTGAGCATGAAGGTTAGACATTGCCAAAATCTTTGTATTTTCCAATGAATAAATTACAAACAAATCACACACAGTAGTATATGTTAATTGCACTGTCATCAAGACTTCAATTATTTTTTAATTATAAAAAAAAATTTCTAAAGCAGATTCTTCTGTGTATGGTTTTCTATAGCAAAAATGGCTGCAGCACCTTCAACAAAAAATTATATTGAAGCTTTGTAACAATGTGGACCATCTGATGAGCCATATCTCATACAACCCTCTGTTTGAAAAGGTTGCCCAAACCTGTTTTAAGCCTTGCCTAACAAGTTTTTCATTAATGCTACTTATTTTGAAATGAAAGGATTTATCTCCCTTGAATAAGTTAAGATATTTATATTTCAGAATAAACGTTCCTTGATAGCATTATTTATTAAGCACCACAATAATTACTTTGCTATTTAAAACAATTTTTAATGTAAAAAATTTTCTGATATGACAACATTTGAAAAAAAAATTAAACATCCAAATAAAAAGCAATTGTAGGCTATCTTAAACTTTTTGATTGTAAAATAGTGAAAATTTTGCATTTTTTCTAGTTCTAAACACAAATTTTCCCCATTAATGGGAAATTAACCAATTTTTTTTTTTTGGAAAATCAAAAAGCCTAAATCATAATCAAACTATTTCAGGCATAAAATTGAGAGTTTTGAAGGAAATCAAAATTCCTAGTGGGTCAAAAAGTCCATTCGAAATTTTCAATGACTACCAGGGTTAAAAAAAAAAAAAAAAAAAAAAAAAAAAAAATCGACACCCAGACACAGAAATCTTTAGTAAAAGGCGGAAGATTTATCTGCAATTCCTTCCCACAAGAAACCAAGTTTGTTTTTTTTTTCAAAATATAGCAGCAATAAGGAAAATTAAGCTAAATTGACTGACATGTCTAGGTCAAAGGTCAGCCAGCAATAAATGTTTAGAACAAGTTGTTATCAGCTTGTTGTAAAACCCACCACTCCCAGATAAGAGCAAAGAGTGAAAAAAGAAAGAAAAAAAAAGGGGTCAACATTGGTAGGGCTTGATATAAGATTTTTTTTTTTCTTTCCCAAAACCTATGTTTGAACAATGGCTTGATGTGTTTTGTTTTGTTTTTAACACCATGTGATCTGGGTGATGACAACAACACTTAGCAGCCGACATTGTTTTTTTTTCGCTGCATGTATTTCATATTTCCCATCACCAGGCCCTTTAGCCATTCTTTTCATTCAATGATGTTCATGCCAAAAAGAGAAAGGGTTGAAGTTTGAATTATATTATTTTGAAGTGAAAATAAATATTTTTTTCATAAAAACAAAAAGGTGATTTTTCTCAAAAAATTGGGCATATTTTCTTAATGCTAACTGCCAAGTGACATTTTCCATAGCCAAATCGAAGATTAATTACCAGTGAATAATTCCATGTGCAAACAATAGCCATCTGGATCCTATAATATCACCCGAAAAGGTCCAGAAGTTTACTGATTGATCGAAAACTTGTTGCGCATAATTGTATTTTTCACGGTCAGTTTCCATTATTTCATCTTGATGTTGTCATTTTCAGACAGCCAAGGATTCAGGAAAACAGTTTAGCACAGGTTTTCTTTAAGAACTTTACATTCTATGAGGTGTTTAAAATGTGACAAATGGCATTTTTTGCCGAATATTTTGTTTACGTGCTGTTTGGATTTTCCTATATGACAAAAATGAGGGTTTTAAACAGCCATAGGGAATAACCATTCTCTTGACACTTTTTTTTTTTTTTTGCAAGCACGCATTGCCAAAAGCTTTCAGCATCTGATTAAAATATTTATGTTAATTTTTCTTTATTTTAAACATTAAATTCTAAAGCATAAAACTTGGGCAGGGTTGTGAGAAAAAGTCAACCCAGTAGTTCTTAAGCAAGGTGATGTATGCATCTACAAAATAAGGCAAGTTGGAGGGGCAGCAAGAAATGAACTTTTTGTTTTGATTGTTCATGTCTACAATTTTTTCTAACACTTCATATTCTAAATTAGCAAATCATTTTGTATTGGATATCCTAATTAGCATTAAAATAAAAATTAAAAAAAAAAATAGAAAAAGAAAATTATTTCCAAAAAAGATCAATAGCTTGACAATT